ACATGAGATCAAGTAAACACCAAACAATAACTTGAATCATGAGTGTGATATTATAATTTGGTGTCAAGGTGTAAAATAACCATATTCGTTTTATAATTCTTTTAGTCAATTTTAAGACGTACTAAAATAAGATCCTTTGACTAAAATTTACTGTATGTTTATATGTTCGGTTTAAATAAAGTATTTTGTATAGATTCCTAAATCCTAATGTAGCGAAATATCTCTTAATCATAAAAGCAGCAATGTATTTCCTCAAGCCAGTAAATATTATTTTTTAACTTTCTGCATAAGACATTCCTTAAGAATACAGAACAGATCACTTTCTACTTGGTTAATTATAACTCTCTAAATTAGCAGTTTATGTTCTCAGTGCTTGGTTTAACAACTGAAATTTGCTAAGGGTTATCAAAAGGTTAACGGTTGAACCTTATTAATATAACAGATTTCACCTAATATAAGATAAAAATAACTGCTTACCAGCACCTATACATTGATAGACAACAAATACTTTATCGATATACGATTTCGACTTTGGTTACAAAGGTCTGCTCCATGTCTAACGTTTGTCACAAGAAAATGTTTTTGAGGTTCTAGGTTCAATATTATGGAACCATATTACATTATGAATTACTGACATTAAGTGATTTATTCACTATATTTATCCGAAATACGTTTACTTAAACCACTTCTGAGAATGTAAGAAATTAAACAGTTAAGCACTAAACATTACAGTGGTATGTTGAGATATTCAAATTGGTAACTTAAATCTTTCGTTTGGTTGATATTATAGTTTAGCTTTCAAGATCGACAAATGAACATTATTAACATTTCAAAAAACTGTTTTTCACGACGGTCCCTATTAAGTGTAGGTGAGATAAGTTTGAGGAGTAAGAAACCAAAGTTGTTTCCAAATCAAAGCTCAAGCAATAATGGAAACTACGGTTGTTCTCACATTACCAACTGTTAAGTGATTGGAAGTAGGCATCAGAAACTCTGGACCTTGTTAATAATTCTCGCCGGTAATTATGGGAACACTGATGTTCCTAGTGAGGCGCGAATCCGTACTACCCAGTCGCTTAGTTCCAGATGTTACCACTGAACTCTTTGAACAACGATCAGCATCTTGTGAAACTGAAGTATCTATATTAACCTATTACTGTGCAGCGTACACGACGTTCAGTAATTTTGAAAAGTGGTTACCTAGCAGCTTGATTGATAAAACTTGATCAGCACTGTAGATCACAATATTGCTATATGTAACAGTAGAAAAATAAATGGCAGCCATCCTTAAAGGTCAAATCAAATGTATTTTTATGTAAAAATCTTGAACTCAGCCTATCAGAAAAGAATGAAAACAATATTAACTAAGTCAATTATATATGAGCATGAAAATTCTTTAGTGTACTTTAATAAATAAAGAATGTGAGTTAAATATAATACACGGGTTTGAACGTAGTATCCGTATCAATAATAGTGAAAACTTAAGTATGTTGCTTATGGTTTGATTAATGAACCTTACGTTGCTTTCCGGAAGTCCTTTTGTGAGCAAAAGTCTCAAACAAACTAGGGTGTAACGGACAATTAATTATAGATCTCTTAGGCAACCTATGTAAACTCAAAAGGTCATCCCGCATCAGTTCTGCTAAATTACTGTCTTTTCTATGTATGACATTTGTTCTCCTATTTCCCACCACTTTTTACTCTTTGTATTATATTTTTTTGATGAAATATTTGCTTGTTAAAACTATCTAGCTGTGTCTAATTGGTTTGACAGTTTTAATTGAGAGTAAGTCAGTTTTATCTCTATATGAAGTGGCTTAAGTGTTTAAATATATGCTAGGTCACCTGAATACTGACTTGGTCACCGGTTATCCTTTGATGTATTTGATTGGTTGTAATAGATCTTTAATACTCTATTATTTGCTGTTAATTTGATAAGAGTGAATATCGCTTTCTGATGCTTAGTGCATGATTCCCTACAACTATGTTGGGATATAACTTTCGATGAATAGATACAAATAGGGTTCCTTATAGCATGTGTAGCTAACATTTTAAAGTTGATAAATCTGAAATTTAGAAAAAAGTAGGTTATCTTGCACAATTTACCTTTTAGTGGGTTACCACCTTGGTTATGATACAGTAGTACTGGAATTTACATTAATTCGATTAGTGATGAAATTTGTATTTGTGTTTTGAAATCTGTTTTGTTAAACTTAGGTTATTTCTTTCTGTTCTCATTACTTCATCAGGATACGTTTTTGTATTGAGAGACATTTGATCTACATCATGCTTTATATTAACTCGTTAATAATTTGTGAGACAATGCACTGCATTTCTTTAGACAGAACTTTATTATCAAGTAGAAATCTGTAGCTAAGTCTGTACTGTCCCATTTATTTGATTTTTCCTTTTACTGGAGATAAATATGTTCACGCTTCATAGATCCTAGACTAGCTAATTTGTGTGACAATTTATGTCACAAGTTTAGTTATCAAAGTTAATTACGAGGGTGATTAAGCATGTTGCTTATACCATATCTATGATTGTTGGATTTGGTGTTAGTTGAAATGAGTTCACAATCGTGAGCAATATTTTCTAAACATATTTTTTTTCTATTTTTGAAGTAACCCTAATTCTTGATGAAAAATATTTTGTTTATTAAGTTTACTTTTACACTTCTGGATCATAAAGTACTATCAACTTTGTAACAACTGATAAGAATCACATAATATTGATCGTTAAACCATAATGAAGGCAATAATAGAATGTTTACGTTGACATATAAAATAGTCTTATATTTACTGATTTAAAGTCATTGGAAATCCATTGGCTTTCGTTCGGGCTCAGCCTCAATATATAAGCTTTGAAAAGTTTTAGTCCTGAATAACGGTATATTGAACAAATATAGGAAACCAAATAAAAAACAGAAAACCATTCGTTCGTAGTATTATTTGTTGCATAAAAGTTACAACTTAGGAAAGTTATAACACGGTTGCACTGGGGATTGTGTTATTAAATTTCGAAGAATAAATAAATTTATATGCAGGCTAACCAGTTATTATGTAATTTTGAAAATGAACCACTTATTCCCAGAATGTCATACAAAAAAGTGCTCAGTATAAAAAATTTATTGGTTTGTTAATGCTCAAGTTGCTCTAGTTGTTTACAAGTATTTACTTTATTTCAACGTTTAAACGATTATACATCTATGAAGAAAAACATCTGAAAGAAAATCACCCATCAAAAAGGACCGTAACTTCATTTATTGATTACATGTAACCCATGTATTCAATTAACTATAGGCTAATTAAATGCAAATTTTGAGTATCTTTGCGATAAGATCTTCAAGCTTATTCTCATTAATCAGTATAAAATCAGTTTTCTTTCAGTATAACGTTTGATCAAAATTATTTCTGATAGTAAATCCAGATTTCCTTTTTTTTTCTTTTTGAAGTTAAATGTAAACTATTTTTTTTTAAAAAAAAGAGAAAAAATATAATAGAACATTGCAAGCATCTTAGTTTTCATTCAAGTAAAGTCTGGATATGAAAACAAAAAAATCATGGCCAAAACAAAATTTTAAATAACTGGCGTGACATTTTCTATTCCATATTTCATTTAGATCATATTATAAAATTGACTAAACAAAAGAACATATTATAGGCCATCAATATTTGTGTGTCTGACTATTGTAGTCTTTTAATTAGAAATCAAAGTGATAAATGTAACAATCTAATTAATGATAACCGTCTAATCATACAAGTTTATTGGTATGTACAATGGTATGATCGTACCACTATCAATACTTTTTTCTCTTAAGATGTTACCTTTTAACATCAGGCATTCAACTAATAATAAGTTTACAAATATATATATATATATATAAACACATCTTAGATGAATTTAGCTTGTGTATTTATTGTATCAAATTGGTCTTAGTGAATTGCTGTTTAAGGTAAATATGAATTTGGTTTTAACCATCTGGCTATCATTCACTTATATTCCCTGAAAATATTTGACTATTAGTTCAGTACTGTAAAAGAGTTTTCAGTATTTTTTTAAAAATATTTCTGTAAATAATTTATTCCCAAGTGTATAGTTTGATTGGTCATCATCATCATGTAAAAATATACTTAGTGATGTTATGATACAATAATTAAAAGTACAGGAGATAAAAAAATATATGAATAGGGAATGATTTATAACATGAACGGGTAACACTATCATTAATTTTCTATGGAAATAAGTATAAAACTGACTTTACTGAACGACTTGGAAAAAAAAAATAGAATTTTAACTGAAAGTTATTATACACATAGTTCCCTTTATTATCTTATCCGAAAGTGAAATTGTTAGATGACAATTTACAACTCAAGTGATTATAGGTCATGTTATTTTTCCCTCATATTCTATACTATTATTATTTGAAATTGTCCGATACTCTCAATGTGATGCTAAATGACCTTCTCTTATTGTTGGTATTTTTTGACTACTTTGCATTTCTAGCATTTTCCTAATAATCTTTGGCGACGAAACGAAAATCTTCATCACTTAATTACCATCATTTTGAATTATAATGTGTAAGGGGAAGGGATGTATGATCACGGCATACATTTTCTTTGCTGTATCTTTATTACTATTTACAGGCTGTGTAATAGTGCACTTTTATGTTGACAAGGCGTTCATGTCAATAATGAAAAAGGTAGGTTTGATATATATATAAGTGATAAATGATATCC